AAATATTATTGATTTACACACCATCATTACAGTATGAGAATATTCTAAATTTGACTATGTGCTTACTTTTACAGTGAATTTATACTGGGCAGGTGTCCTCACAGAAGTATTTTTTGTGTAAGATTGTGATGGCCTTTGTGCAAGGTTTTGATTTTTGCAGAATATTTTGTGATAGTCTTGTTATTACACATTCATACATGAGAACCATCTTTTCGTGGCCTTCTCAGCTCTATTTTTCAGAGTAATTAATGCATGTGACTCTATTCTGATTCTGAAAATTTCCACAGAGCTTAATTAGTTTCTTTTCATGGTGTTCATAATACCTTGATACTTCCTAACCCTTGTGTGTTTGTATTATATACATTTGAAAAAGCAGCCAGTTCCTTTGGACATTATAGGTGGTCTTTGGTGTGAAAAAAATTTCATTCTGTAGTCTAGCTTGGGATTCTGAATGGGCAACTGGTAATGACCACAGGCAGGGAGAGCTTGCTGTTAGTTCTCTAATTGGATTGTACTTTTGTTCTGACATCAGATGGGGTCGCTAAATGGGCTCCATTTTCTGTGTGACTACTTGCTAGGAACTTCAGTTAAAGGGAACTGAGGGCTAGGCATTGCTATCATCTCTGACCAGGCAGGTTTGTAGTCTGTATTTCCCGTCCAGGCAGTACTGCTGTTTGTGTTCTTCCACTGGACAGGGCACTGGGCCCTGTGTTTAGACAGATTTGCTACTTCGGACAGACATAAACAAAGCCTATGAGATATAGAAATGCATAACTGAAATTTGCCTGACTTCCTGGGCAGAAGCTTAAGATGAGCTCTGAGGCTGGGTCAAGTTGCTGTTATGACTTCCAGATTGGGTAGGACCAGCCCCTATGCTCTGCAGAAATGTGCAAGTTTTTGTCTGCCTGGGCAAGTTTTTATCTCTCCCTTATTTCTAAATAATAGTTTTTATGTATAAGGTATTCTTGGTTAAAAGTTTTTTCCCTTCAATACTTTGAATATATCATCCCACTCTCTCCTGGCCTGCAAGGTTTTTATGTAGATGTCAGCTGCCAGGTGTATAGCATCTCTCTTATGTTATTTGCTTATTTTCTCTTGCTGCTTTTAGGCTGCTCCCTTTGTCCTTGACCTTTGAGAGTTTGATTACACATGTGTCTTAGGGTAGTGTTAGCGCTTCAATTTTCTTTTTCTTTTTTAAGGCTATTTTGGTTATCCTAGATCATTTACATTTCCATATGACTTTTACAATCAGTTTATTAATTTCTAGAAAGAAATTTGGTGGTTCTGATTGAAAGTGCATTAAATCTACAGATCAACCTAAAAAGAATTTACATTTTGACATTATTAAGTTTTTCAACCTGTGAACAAGAGATAACTCGCCCTTTCTAAATGTCTTTTAAAATCTTCCTCAGCAGTATTTTGTAGTACACAAGTTTGTTCATATATTTTATAACACTTATCTCTAAGCAGGACATATTTTTATCTCACTATGATATTTTTAAAATTAAATTTTCAACTGTTTATTGCTAGTATATAATATACAATTGACTTTCATATATTATTCTGCAAACTTTCTAAACTTTTAATTATTTCTATTAGTTTTTTTGTAGATTCCATTGGATTTTCTACACAGAAAATTATGCTATCTTCAAATGAAGACAATTTTAGTTCTTTATTGCCATTCTAGATGCCTTTTGTTTCTTTTTCTTGCATGCTTTATTGGTAAAACCTCTAGTACAATGTTCAATAGAAATGATGAAAGCAGACGACCTTATCTCTTTTCATTCCCTTAGGGAAAAGCATTCAATCTTTTACAAATAAAAATAACCTTAAGTGTAGGGTTTCATTCATGCCCTTTATCAGGTTTAGGAAGTCCCATTCTGATTTTAGTTTGCTGACAGTTTTTATCAGGAATAAATGTTGAATTTTGTCAAATGTGTTTTCTGTATCTATTGAGAGCATCATGAATTGTTTTAATTAATATACATGTTGAATTATATTTATTGATTTTTCCAATGTTAAACAACCTGTATGTATGAAATAAACCTCACTTAGTTATAATAGATTTTCTTTCTGGCATCTTGTCAGATTCAATTTGTTAAATTTTGTTTAGAATTTTTATATCTATGTTCATGTGCAGGGGTCAAGACACTATGACCCACACGCTAAATTCAGTTTTTGGTTCATTTTTGTATGGTTTATGACCTTAAAAAGGTTTTTACATACTAAAGTATTAAAAAAGAAGAGAATTAAAGAGAAGGAGAAAGACCAAGAGGAAGAGAAGAAGAGGAGGAGGAGGAGAACGAAGAAGAAAGAAGGAAAAGGTGAGGGAGAGGAAGAAAGAGAAGAAGAGGAAGAAGGAGGAGAAGGAGGGAAGGGGAGGAGAGAAGAGGAGGAGAAGGGAAGAGGAGGAGGGAGAAGAGGAGAAGGGATAGGAGGAGGAGGGGGAAGAGGGAAGAGGAGGGAGAAGAGTAGGAAGGGGAAGAAGAGGAGGAACAGGAATAAGAAGAAGAAGGAGGAGGAGGAGGAAGAGGAGGAAGAGGGGGAAGGAGGAAGAAGAGGAGAATGGGAAGACAATGGGGAGGGGCGGAGGATGGGGAGGGGAAAGAGATGATGATGACTGTACATGCCTGCAAAACCTAAAATATTTGTTGGACCTTTTATGGAAAATGTTTGCTGACCACTGTTCATAAGGAATATTGGTTCATTGTTTTATTTTTATGCATTATCTTTGTCTTATTTTAGTATCAGGGTAATGCTGGCCTCATAGAATAAATCAAAAAATATTTTCATCTTTTCACTGTTTTTGGAAGAGTTGGTATAGAATTAATGTTATTTTTCCTTAAATGTTAATAGAATTCACCATGAAGCCTGGAGTTTTATTTGTGGGAATAATTTTAACTAAAATTTCAATTTCCTTAATACATAAATAACCATGTTAACTATTTTGTCTTGCATGAGCTTTGGCAGGTTGTGTCTTTAAAGGAATCTGTCTTTTTCATATGTCATTGAATTTATTGCATCATGTTTTTTTCACAATATTTTCTTCTTATTATTTTAATACTTGTAATACTATCACCTCTTTCATTCCCAACATTGGTAATTATTTCCCTGAGTAATCTGTATAGAGGTTTATTAATAGTATAGATCACAAAGAATCAGCATTTGGTGGCATTGATTTTATCTATTGATTTCTTCTGTTTTCTATTTTATTAATTCTGCTTTGATCTTTGTTATCGTCTTTCTCCTGACTAGTTTGTTTTTAATTTGCTCTTTCATTTTTAGATTCATAGGAAAAAAGCTAATGTTATTGATTTGAAATCTTCCTTCTTTTCTATAACACATAAACCTTTAGCATTATCAATTTCCTTTAATTTATATGTCACTGTTTTAGTGACATTCTGCAAACTCTGAGACATTTTTCATTTTCATTCAGACAAAAAATTTTTAAATATGCATTTGATTTCCTTTTTGATTGATGAATGTTTAGAAGCATGTTATTTAACTGATGGTTATTTGGGGACTTTCTAAAGATCTTACTGTTATTGATTATCAATTTAATTCCATACTATGGAGCAATTCTCTGAACTCTTCCTTAAGTCTTTGAAAACAGCATCATTGGAGGAGACAAATTCCTCATATAGTAATCCGCAAGTCCTGGGAAAGTAGGCATGAAAGATATTGTAATACTTAATTTTTAACAGTACCTGGTCTGTACTCACCTGTTTTCACCAGTCATTTGCTCCAGCTGGAGGTTAGCCTTATCCCAATATTATCCTGTGGGCACCAAGCAATTTGAACTACTGCTTCTGATTTATGCTTCACAGTGGCAGTGAAGCAAGTGGCAATCATCTTGGTAATTTAGTGTACAGACAAAAACACAAGTGAAACTCTATCCCCCAAACCTATACACCCTCTTTCAATCCAGCTATCCGAGAGTGCCACCACTCCCTAATTTTCATTCCATACCACACACACACACACACACACACACACACACACACACACACACAACATCCTCAGTGGTGTCTTATGTTTTTATGTTAATTTCTTGGGCCTGTGCTTTTTTTCTCTCTCTCTAGTGTAGATTTTATTAGAGGGAGTTGGCAACCCCTTCTAGTTTCATCACCTTATAAGAAGATATAGCCCATAGCATGTAGGATTCCTCCACATATTCAAACAAATATTTCTAGAATGCCTACTATGTTTCAGGCACTCTTCTATATGCTGAGGATAGCAGAAGTGAAGAAAACAGACAAAAGTCACTGTTCTCATGGAGTTTACACTCTAATGAGTGTAGATACATAATAAACAAGTAAAATCCAGTGTTTGGCAGATGGTGATGCTTGATATGGGGACTGGAAATGGCAGTTCTGAATTATAAGGTAGTTGAGAAAAACACTATGATTTAGCATATGACTATGACTAGAAGCTTGAAGTTGGTGGTGAAGTGAGCCTCACACATATCTGATGGCCTTCCAAGCCAGAAGGTTCATGAGGGCAAAATCCTGAGCAGGACATTGATTGGTAATTTGAAGAACAGCAAGTAGACCTGTGCCTGAGCAGAGGAGTAACAAAAAAGGTCAGAAAGATATTATTGAGAGGGCAGATTCCCTCACCTCCTTCAATTTCACCTCTTCCCCCACCTTCCAGATGGGAAGCAGGGTGAAGAAGGAAAAATAAAATGAAATAAAATACCCTGGGAAAATGACTTCCTCTTTAGTTACCAGCATCTCTCCTATTTGTTAACCTTGAAAGAGCTGCAAATGAATGCTATCTCTGCCAGCTGGACCCCAGCACTGGGTCACACTCACAACTCCATGGACCAGGCTCCCTCCTGGAAACACCTCTGCCAACAAACAGCTTGTTGCTTTTGTCCTGTCTCTGTAAGTACCCCTCCCTTGCTGGTCCCACCCGTGCTGCATATGAATTAGCAAATCAATAAAGCCAAAAGATTGTAAGGTCAGACATCCAGCAAATGGACAATGACATAGTTCCACCGCAGTTTCCCCTTTAGAGTTGTAAGCCTATAAAAGGGGAGAGAAGTTGCAGCTCAGGGAGCTCAGTGAATGAGACTGTAGCCCCTCACAGCTCCCAGCCAAATAAAAAGCCACTTCCTTCCTCAGTTCAGTGTTCTTGAGGTTTGTTCCCCACTTCTCCTGCTATATTTTTGGTTCCCTGACCAGTCACGGCCTCACTACTGCCCCAGGTCCCAGACTTGGTGCCAGTTTACTCAAAGGGAAAAAATTTTTTTCTCCAAACTGAAGGTGAAAAGGAAATAAAGGGAGGATGACTATGCCTGCCAGACAGGTGGGTAGCAGTGCCACAGCTGTTAGGACCTGCAGTGATCTTAGCTGTCCATAAAACCTCCCACCTTGGTCAAGAAACCCTTAAAAAAATTGTTAGGCTGGTATTTTTGCATCTCCCATTTATCTGCACTAGCAAAAACAGTGACACAATGGTGTATAACATGCAGACAGCACAATACCAAACAAGGACCTACAGCCCCACCAGGAATCCAGGCTTATGGGAGTGCTCCTTTTAAAGACTTGCAAGCAGATTTCACCAAGATGCCTAAGTGCAGAGGTAACCAATATCTGCTGGTTCTTGTATGTACTTACTCCAGGTGGGTAGAAGCCTACCCAACATGGACTGAGAAGACCAGTAAAGGGATTCGTGCTCTTTTGAAAGACATCATCCCTAGATTTGGAATGCCATTGTGAGTAGGCTCAGACAAAAGGCTTGCATTTGTAGCTAACCTGGTGCAAAGTACAGCGAGAATGCTAGGAATAAACTGGAAATTACATGCCACCTACTGGCCTCAGAATTCAGGCAAAGTGGAGCAAATACACCAAATTATAAAGAATAGCTTAGGGAAAGTGTGGCAGGAGATGGGGTTAAAGTGGATACAGGTCCTTCCTATGGTTTTGTTTACGATTAGATGTACACCTTCTAAAAAAACTAGATATTCCCCTCTGAGATCCTGTATACTAGGTCTCCCCCCATTCACCGGGGATTCCCAGGGACTCACCAGGTATTAGGAGAAACTGAATTATGTCAGCAATTACAGGACTTGGAAAAGGTGGCAGAGCAGGTGTATATATGGCTTAATGAAAGATGCCCTGTCAGCTTATTCTCCCCAGTTCACCACTTCTCACCAGGTGACCAAGTTTGAATCAAGGACTGGAATGTGGCCTCCCTACAACCAAGGTAAAAAGGACCCCAAATGGTCATTCTAACAACTCCAACCACTGTGAAAGTCAAGGGAGTTGCTGTGTGGATCCATCACAACCATGTGAAACCAGAAGCACCAGACACCTGGGAAGCAAAGCCAAATCCCCAGAACCCATGTAAAATCACCTTAAGGAAAACCAAGACAACAAGCCCTGCTCCAGGCACATCTCGGAGGCTGACTGGTCTATGCACAGCCAAAACATGAGAACTGCCTCCATGGAACAGGTACTCCTTCTCTTTGGCCTATGGACTTGTATCTTTGCTACCCTGGTAAATGTAAATCCCCCATGTAATGATTGTTCCCAGTGCATACATAAGGTTCCTAAGGTAGAACAAAAGGTTACCACAATTCTCTTGTTCTACAGTTATCATAAATGTACTGGAACCCTCAAAGGAACTTGAATATATAATGCAACCCAGTACCGAGTGTTCAGCCTAGGAAACAACCAACCTAATGTATGTTATAACCCATCTGAACCAACCATGTCCACCGTATTTAAAATAAGGCTAAGAACTGGTCCCTTCTTAGAGGATATAAGTAAAGTAATCACAAAGTTAAGAAAATAAAAAATACCTAAGCAGGTCACCATAAAATTCAATGCTTGTGCTGCTGTTAACAGTAACAAAAAAGGTCTAGGGTGTGGCTCTCTTGGTTGGGAAAGAAGCCATATGGCAGAGCATAAATACATCTGTCGTAACTGATGGCCATGCAGTGGTAGTTGTAACTACTGGTCATGTGTCATCTGGGCCACTTGGAAGAATAAAAATAACCCAGTCCATCTCCAAAAGGGGAGGAGAATTCCTCCTGCACCTCTGGCCATTGTAATCCATTAAAATTAACAATGACCAATCCTCTGGATCCTCATTGGAGGAAAGGGGAATCTGTAATAATGGTAATTGATGGAAAAGGACTGGACCCTGTGGTTAACATTCTAATTTGGGGAAATATCCAGAGACAATCACCCTACCTGGTGTTTCAAACTTTTTATAATATATTAAATAAACCAGTTCCAGAATTCCTCCAGAAGGAAAGAAACTTGTTCTTTCAGTTAGCTGTGAATGTGGTCAAAACTATAAAAGTGCATTCTTGTTTTGTGTGGAGGAACTACTATAGGGGACTGGTGGCCATGGGAAGGACATGAGCTTATGCCTGCTGACCCTGTCCCTAATACAACCTATGTGCAAAAGGACCTCAGTAACAGCTTCTGGATCTTAAAAACCTCCATCATTGGACAATATTGTCTGGCCAGAATAGGAAGGGGTATAGCAGTCCCGGTGGGAAAGCTGGACTGTTTGGGACAAGTAAAGCAGTCACTTGGTGGAGTTTAAATAAAACCAAAACCAACCCTTTCCAAGAGTTTCCCACCAACAAGCAGCCTGGACCCATCCATAACTCCACTGGGACTGGGTAGCGCCTCCTGGCTTGGACTGGATATGCAGTCACAGGGACTATACCAAACTGCCAGACCAGTGGATGGGCAGTTGTGTCCTTGGCACCATCAAGCCCCCTTTCTATTACCCATAAAGACTGGGGAGTTGTTAGGTTTTCCTCTCTATTCTTCACAAGACAAACAAAGCCTAGTTACAGGTGACTGGAAAGATAATGAATGGCCTCTTCAAGAATAATACAATACTATGGGCCAGCCACATGGGCAAAGAATGGTTTGTGGGGCTGTCGCACTCCAATCTACATGCTTAATTGAATTATTCAATTGCAAGCTGTCCTAAAAATTCTGACCAACAAAATGGCCAGGCTCTAATCGCCCTGGCACAGCAGGAGACCAAAATGAGGAATGTCACCTACCAGAATAAACTGGCTTTAAATTACTTACTGACTGCTGAAGGAGGGGTATGCGGAAAAATTAACTTAACTAACTTTGCCTGCAAATAGATAACCAGGATCAGGTGGTTTAAAATATTACAAAGGGACATAACAAAATTGGCGCAAGTACCCGTACAGGTCTGGCAACGTTTGGAAATTGGTTTCCTGCTATAGGAAGGCTCAAGACCATTATCATAAGTATGTTACTATTAATAGGGGCATGCATATTGCTCCCCTGCTTAATGCCCTTGCTCCTTCAAGTAATGAAAGGATTTATTACCACCATGGTTCAAGAAAAAATGTCAGCACAGTCCTATTACATGAACCACTACCAATCTGTCTCACCAGAAAACCCCAACAGTGAGGCTGAATGTAAGTGTGAGAATTCTCACAAAAAAGGGGGAGTAAGTAAAAGTCTCAAAGTGGGAGTGAGAGGGGAGACCCCTTCACCTCCTTCAATTTCACCTCTCCCCACCCCTTCCAGATGGGAAGGAGGGTGAAGAAGTAAAAATAAAATAAAATAAAATAAAATACCAAAGAGCTAGGAAAATGACTCCTTCTTTAGTTCCCAGCATCTCTGCTGTCTGTTAACCTTGAAAGAGCTGCAAAGGAATGTTATCTCTGTCAGCTGGATGGCTGGATCCCGGCACTGGTTCACGCCCCCATGTCTCCACAGATGAGGCTCCCTCCTGGAAACACCTCTGCCAACAAACAGCTTGTTGTTTTTGTCTTGTCTCTGTAAGCCCTCCTCCCGGCATATGAATTAGCAAATCAGTAAATCCAAAAGATTGCAAGGTTGGACATCCAGCAAAAGGACAATGACATAGTTCCACCTCAGTTTCCCCTTTAGCATTGTAAGCCTATAAAAGGGGAGAGAAGATGCAGCTCGGGGAGCTTGGTGAATGAGGCTGTAGCCCTCCACAGCTCCTGGCCAAATAAAAAGCCATTGCTTTCCTTAGTTTAGTGTTCAAGAGGTTTGTTCCCTGCCGCCCCTGCTACATTTTCATGCAGGGTCATTGGACAGACTTTGCATTTAACTTTGAGAGATGTGGGAAGTCACTAGAGGGTTTTGAGTGGAAAAGTGACATAATGTTCACTTTTAAGAATAGGATTGAGGGTTGAGCAAGAGCACTTGTAAAAAGACTAATTAGGAATCTATTGCAATAACCCCAGTGAGGTATATGATTGTGACTGGTACAAGAAGTATTGAGAAACAGTCAAATTCTGGATGCTGATAAGCTTTGCTCATAGCTTGAACGTGTGGGTGACATGCAAGAAAGAGAGAGGGGTCATCAATAAATCTAAAATGTCTGGCTCATAAAAACAGACAGATTGACAAGACAGAGGTGCGAGTTTGGGACAAGGAGTAGATTCATTCAATTTGTAATGTGCTAAGCTTGTGTTGTCTATACATGATCAGCATGGAGACGCGAGAGAGGAAGCTCACGTAAGAGCCTGGAAGTTGAGGAAGAAATCCAGGCTTTAGCTATAAACCTGTGTTGTCAACATCTAGATGGCATTTAATGCACTGAGTCTGGAAGAGATTACCTAGAGAGTGAATTTAGGTCAAGGAAGAACAGTTCTGGGACACTCCAACATTTAGAGATCAAGGAGTTAGGACACAGCAAAGAAGATTGAGGTGAAACAGCTGATGAGGTTGGAAGAGAGTCTGGATACAAAGTGAGGAAAATGTTTCAAGGAAAAGAGACTGATCACATCAAATGTTACTGAGAGAACTCAGATAAGCTAAAGACTAAGAATCCACTATTGGATTTTGCAGTATGGAAGTTGTTGGTAATCTTAACTAGAGCAGGTTAATGCCCTGAGTCTTTGTTGTTTGCCTAACTTGTTCTGTTAACAAGGTAGAGATGTTTTAATTTACAATTGTACTTGTGTCAATTTACCCTTTTGCTGCCAATCATTTTTCCCCCCACTGGCAAATTTGTGATTTTTATT